GAAATTCTTTAAAATACTTGATTTTAGTCTTTGAATAGACAAGCACTTTTAAGACTACTGGTTCACCACAGAGGGTTAGTTACCTGGATACTGAAGAGTTCTAAAGCTTCAGCACCTAAAGATGGTTTTATACTTCTTCTGAAAAAGAAATTAGTGGGAGTATATGGAGCTGGTGAAACACTTTTCAACAATTGAAGGAATTTTTCCATTTGGATAAGGAAGTAATTTTTTTGCATACAAATTCAGGTTGGCAGATCCAGGACCAGAGGTAAAAATGATAGACACTAGAATGTTAGCACAACCTCTGATCCAGGTTCTATATGATGATTTGGTTCTCAAGAGTTGTCACTCATCTGGGATGTGAAGGGGGAAGGATTAGTATTCTGGGGCTGTATAAGGCTAGGAGCTAGAAATAAGAAAGCCATTGTTCATTGTCACTCAAATTATTTATGAGGGGGCTGGGAAGGTGGCTCAGTGGTAGAGCACTTGCCTTGCATGCCTGAGGCCCTGAGTTCGATTCCTCAGCACCACATAAGCAAAAAGAAAAAAGCCGGAAGTGGCACTGTGGCTCAAGTGGTAGAGCGCTAGCCTTGAGCTGAAGAGCTAAGGGATAGCGCCCAGGCCCAGAGTTCAGGCCCCATGACCAGCCCCCCCCCCAAAAAAAATTATGAGTCAGGAGAGTTTTCCTCCTCTCTTCACATAGACAAAGCATAAGTAAAAGTGGAGATGTGTACTATCCATATCTATATCCATAGTGTGTGTGTGTGTGTGTGTGTGTGTGTGTGCAGTGACTAACAGGACTGTAACAGTCAGGTGAGTGTTTATCCTGATGAATTAGTCTGTGCTCCTCAGAATCTGTGGCCCATGGAACCTGTTAGTCCTGGGCGTGGGGAAAGTTTTCTCAGTTCAGGTTTCCCTGCTACCATCTGGGGGCCCTCAAGGGACATAAAATACTATCACATGGTGGCTAAGTAGTAGGATATCACAGGATTTGTATGCTGGTTTGGTCCACCATATGACCTTGAGTAAATGATCTAAGGTTTTAGTCCTTATTTTCCTTATCTGTAAAATAAGAGTGATAAAACTTACTTTAAGAGCTCATTGGGAGAATTCAATGAGACAAGCGATCTAAAGCACTCAGAGGAGCTCCTGGCACTTGGCACTTGAAAAGTGGCTGAGGTTAGGCCTAACCTCAGGTCCCACACCCTGAGCTTTGGTGATTGTAGCTTGCAATTTACTTGATTTACTCCCATGCATGAATATAAACTTGAAAATAGAAGAAATTTTGCTGTTCTATTCACTATTCAATTTCTAGTGCTTTGCATGCTGCCTGGTGTCTTCTGTGTGTAAGCTTGTGGTCAATGAAAAAGAATCAATCAACCCATCAGCGAATATATAAAAGAATGAATGGATGAATAGGTTACCACCTTCCCATTTAATGGGTGAGGAAATTGCAAATCAGGAAGTTTAAAGAAGCAACTCAGGTTGAAACAGCCATCAGAGGAGAATGGCAAGGTCCAAGTGGAGATTACAGACCTTAAAGGGCCTGCTCTCCCCACCAGAGTATCAACTTCCAAAATACACAAGAGTCCTAAGCATGGGCTGTGTCTGACACAGCAGGAAATATACATGTGTTCCCTTTTGTGTCCAGAACCCAAAGGGTGGCAGCAGTAGGTCAGAAGTACTTTGAAAGTCCGAATCTCTGAGAAGAGCCCAGGAGCTGCTTCCTGGCTAATTCTTAGTCCCCAAGTTTGAGAGCCACTGCACTGGGCTCCTGTCTGCTCTCTACCTGGGCCTTTCCGCTCCTCCAGCAGTTTCTGCTTCAGACTCTTCTGTGCCTCAGCTCTGGCTAGGGAGTCCAAGAACATCACAGTCTACGGTGTACCCATGAGGACTGGCAGATGTAGCTCATGAAATCAGTGGGAAGGTTTGTTTTTTGGTATCAGAATTCTTTTTTTTCTTTCTTTTGTTGGTTGTCAGGTTTGAACTCTGGGCCTGGGCACTATCCCTGAGCTCTTCAGCTCAAGGCCAGCACTCTACCACTTGAGCCATATTGGCACTTTCAGTTTTCTGGTAGTTAATAGGAGAAAAGAGTCTCACAGACTTTCCTGCCAGGGCTGGCTTTGAACCACAATCCTCATATCTTAGCCTCCTGAGTAGCTAGGATTACAGGCATGAGCCACTGGCGCCTGGCTCAGAATTTTTTTTTAACTTGGCTAAGTCTGCAGAATGGGAAATGGACCCAGGCAGCTGCCCAGATCCCCACCAAACTCTGGGGCATGAGGCAGGCAAAGAAATTCCTTGTGCTCCAAAGAAGAAAGAGCAGGAAGGGAATGAACAAGATGGTGGGAGGCTGAAAATACCTGAAGAGATCAGATTGTTTGCCAAGCAGCATGAGGTATTGTAAAATAACCTTTTCCAGGCTCTCCCTGCCCTTCTGCAAAGTCTGCTAAACCCAGAAGTATTTCCTCTGAGTACTTTTGTTATGGAACCTGAAGAAGTACGAAATCTTCAAGTGGAAGAGACGAGGATGATTCTAACTGCACTTAATCTGGGATTAACCTGGTTTACTCTGGGTTCTCAGAGGAACCCAGGACCACAGAGCACCCTGGCCCTCAGAGTCCAGAGGGGCCCAGAGTCACAGAACTGGAATGAATCACATGGATCTTAAGGAATGATCAACCAATGAACGAACCACTGAACCCTGAAACTAAAAACTGAGAAGAAAATGGAAAATGTGGTTTGGTGCTATAAATGCAATACTAATGATAGCCATTCATGCAAACCGCTTCCATTCATGCTTAATTACTTACTCATGGCATAATAACAGTGATGCACTGGATGAACTACAGCTCAGATTAGCTCAGTTCTATTGGCCCTTACATGGCAGGTCTTCCTCAGACCTTGTTTTCTGGCCTGGTTATCTGTGGATTAGAACATTGGTTATGCTCAGGACTTTTTTAAGTAAGAGCACACAATGAGTCTTTTAAAGGATGAGTTTCTTTATGCTGGCTGAAATACCAGTATAATGTGTAGTCTTTGGAGCTTGGCCAAAGAAGGATGATATGATTTCTATCATTTTCTATTTGGCTTTTTGTTGTTGTTAAGTTTAGGAGACCAATAAAGTATCCATCACCAAAGCAAACAGATCCCTGCACACCTCTAAAACAGAAATGGGAATAATCACTCCCAGCTGAGGTGAAAAACTCATCTTAAGTCCATGCTTTAGAAAACAGAATGAAAGATGGAAACACAGTGGTTAAAAAGGCTCTTCAGTAGCACCCCATAAAGAAGCTTGGAGCCGGGCATGGAGGTTCACACCTATAATAGTAGCTACGAGGAGATGGAGAGTAAGAGGATCATGGTTTAAGGCCATGTCTAGGAAAAGTTTCATGGGACCTCCCCCAACTCAATTTTTTAAAAAATGGATGTGGTGGTGTGTACCTGTCATCTCAGCTGCTCAAGGATAAATGGAGGATTGTGGTCCAGACCAGTTGGAACAAAAGGGAGAGATCTTATGTGAAAACAACTAAAGCAGACAAGTAAAGTGCTAGAGTGGCCTGACTAGAAAATGTGAAGCCCTGAGTTCACAAGCCAATGCTACCCAAAAGAGAAGCTTAGAGGTGTCCAGTGAACACATGAGGAAATGCTCAACATCCCTGGCCATAAAGGAAATGACACTGAGGTTCTATCCCACCCCAGTAAGATTAGCTAGCAATGAGAATTTGAACAATGTAACAAACAGTGGGGATATGGGGAAAAGGGGAACTCTATTACACTATTGGTGGGAATGTAAACTAGTACAACCACTCTGGAAAGAAGTTTGGAGTTTCCTCAAAAACTAAATATAGGGGCTGAAGATGTGGCTCAACAATAGAGTGCCTGAGTAGCAAGCACAAGGCCTTGAGTTCAAATCCTAGTACTGAAATACAATAAAATAAAACAACATGCCCAAAACAAAAGTATATAAAAAAGCAAACGCCAAGAAACTAAACATAGAGCTACCATGTGATCCAGCCATAATGCCATTCTTGGTGTTACAAGTCAGGAATGGTAAAGACACCTGCATATCCATGTTCACTGTGGCACTATTCACAATAGCCAAGCTATGGAAACAGCCCAGATGCCCTACAACAGATGAGTGGATTAAGAAAATGTGGTACCTATACACAGTGGAACTTTACTCATCCATTAGAAAAATAATATTACGGCATTTGCAGAGAAATGGATGGAGCTAGAACAAATCACATTAAGTGAAGTAAGCCAGGCTTAGAGAGAAAAAAAAAAACCCTATTTTCTCTCCTATGTAGAAGCTAGATCTAAAATACAACTATGCATGATAACATATACAGAGCTCAATGCATTTACACACAAACTGACTAAAGAAGGTATGCTTAAGGGAGAAATCCAAAGGCGTAACTCCCCTAAACAATTAATGTACTGTTTATTTGTTTGCTTGCTTATTTTTTGGTGTCAGTCCTGGGGCTTGAACTCAGGGTCTGGGTGTTCTCCTTGAGCTTTTATTCTCAAGGCTAGCACTCTACCACTTGAGTCATAGCTCCAGTGAGTTAACTGAAGAGTTTCATGGACTTTCCTTCTCAGGCTTTGAACCATGATCCCCAGATCTCAGCCTGCTGAATACATAGGATTACAGTTGTGAACCACTAGCACCTAATGAACTGTTTATAAAAACAAATACAGGAAGTAGAAATGTGTTTTTTTGGAGGATGAACAAACTGGGAACACAGGAACGGAGGAGGAAGGGTGAGCGAATATAGTCATTATATTCAGTGTACATTATGTAAAGAATGAGCTATGTAACTTGAGGGTAGGGATTGGATAGGGAAATGGGGAGGGAAGGAAGGAGGGAAGGAAGGAAGGAAGGAAGGAAGGAAGGAGGGAGGGAGGGAGGGAGGGAGGGAAGGAGGGAGGGAAGGAAGGAAGGAGGGAAAGAAGGAAGGAAGGAAAGCAGGACAGAAACATCAGCAAAGCAATCTTACTTCTGCAAGTCTTCTGATCCAAGTTGAGAATATACCCTTGTTTGCACCTGCAGACATAGGAGCCAGGGGTGTTGATACAGAAGTGGGCACAGTTGTGGTCCAGGATGCTGCACATATGAACCGCTGAAAGGGAAGACATAAGGAGTCAGAGAACAGTGACGCCTTTCCCCAACTTCATTCCACCCAGCAAACCCTGAGCCTCGGCTATAAGGTGAAGGAAGGACCCAAAGAAAAATAACTGCAGTCCCTAGATATAAGGGGACATAGGGTCTCAACTAGACAAGACAGGTCCAGATAAACAGCATCAGCAATATCTAGATAAAGGTCCATGAAGGGTCAAAGAAAAATGGTGTTTTGTTGATGAAACTGTTTTCTATGAAACAGATATTTCCAATTCAATTTAATATTATCACTTGGCAGGTGAGGAATCAGAAAGTTCTGTGATATGAGAAGGAGCTAGATTTTATGCATAGGCAGCAATGGACTAGAAGGACAATCTACTAGTTAAGTGAAGATGTGTTAAAGAACCAACAGGATGGGGCTGGGAAGGTGGCTCAGTGGTAGAGTGCTTGCCTCGCATGCATGAGGCCCTGGGTTCGATTCCTCAGCACCACATGAGCAAAAAGAAAAAAGCCGGAAGTGGCGCTGTGGCTCTAGTGGTAAAGTGCTAGCCTTGAGTTGAAGAGCTGAGGGACAGCACCCAGGCCCAGAGTTCAGGCCCCATGACCGGACCCAAAAAAAAAAAAAAAGAACCAACAGGATTGTAAGTCCTAAGAACGATGTGATTTTTTTAAATATGCAAATGCATACAAAAATTTGGAGTAACAACGCATGCATATGCTTCATGTTGCTATAACTTTTATGTCTCAATTTAAAATGTTTCTGCATTTAGTTTCTGAGTTATCTCAGCTTTCAGATACATCAGTTCTTGCATAAGTCTGTCTCATAAAATTCTCATTGTTCTCTATAATGTGTGTGTGTGTGTGTGTGTGTGTGTGTGTGTGTGTGTGTGTTGGTACTGGGGCTTGAACTCAGGGCTTGGGTGCTATCTCTGAGCTCTCTGTCTTAAGGCTAATGCTCTACCACTTGAGTTCCACTGCTGGCTTTCTGGTGATTAATTGGAGATAAGAGTCTCAGAGCTGGCTTGGAACCTGGATCCTCAAATCTCAAACTTCTGAGAAGCTAGGATTACAGCTGTGAGCTCTCAATGCTCTTTGCTACACCTTAAGTTATGACTTATTCAATACGATTCAACTTGAACATATTTAAAATTAACAAGCATGTAAATAGAGCCAGTTATGCAAGCATTCTCACAAACACAGATGATGTCTATAGGCAGAGGATTGTTTTCTGAAGCTCAAATAAGAGGAGCAAGCCAAGCGAGAACAACCTCATTATCCTACACTTGGGAAAAGTAAGCTGGTAACATTCATCTTAAGTGAACGTCTCCTTACATCAAATAAGAAATATTGTGAGCAATAAATGTAGCAGGTGAATATAAAACTGCTTTATTTTATAGCAGCAGCGTTTAGAATGTACTGTTCTGAGTGTATGTCTTTTAACTCATTTTAGGACATAAATGACATTAGGAAATTTTGTCGCCAGTCAGTCATTTTTTCTAGTGTGAAATAAACATCTTTTTTGGGGGATGGGGAGGGGCTCTGAGCAATTTTCTTAGCATCTTTATACAAAATGGGAATACAAATAACACCAACTAGCCGGGCGCCAGTGGGTCATACCTGTAATCCTAGCTACTCAGGAGGCTGAGATCTGAGGATCACAGTTCAAAGTCAGCCCACGCAGGAAAGTCCATGAGACTCTTATCTCCAATAAACCACCAGAAAACCAGAAGTGGCACTGTGGCTTGAGTGGTAGAGCGCTCACCTTGAACTGAAGAGCTGAGGGACAGCATCCAGGCCCAGAGTTCAAGCCCCATGACTGACAAAAAAAAAAAAATAGCACCAACCTCCCCAGAAGAGCCGTGTGAGGGTTAATTTAGCCATGCTGCCAACATGAGCAGTGCCCAGTACTAGTACTGGACATTCAGTACCTGTTAAGGGGCTTGAACTTGGAGCCTAGGTGCTCTCCCCGAGCTTTTGTGCTCAAGGCTAACATTCTACTACTTCAAGCCACAGCTCCACTTCCAGTTTTTTGGAAATTAGCTAGAGATAAGACTCTCATGGACTTTCCTTCTCAGGCTGGCTTTGAACTGCAGTCCTTAGATATCAGCCTCCTGAGTAGCAAGGCATGAGCCACTAGCACCCGGCTGCCTGTTAACTGTTTTACAGCAAAGGAAAAGTATGATGGTATTTTATTTGACAAATTTAAGTTCACCCTGTCTACGTTGATTTTTTTTTCCACTCAATACCAGTCTCAGCATCTACAGTTTACACATGGACAGTGGGTGTTCTGTTTTGTTTTGGTTTGAACTCAGGGGACCTCACACTCTTTAGTCAGGTACTCTACTGCTGAACTATACCACCAGCCATTTCTGTGCTTGTTACTTCTACCCAGGTACACAGCTGGGCCATAATCTGCCTATTTCAGTCTTCCTGTTTGTAGCTAGGATGACAGGCTTGAGCTACTATACCCAACTTCTTCCACTGAGATGTAGTCTCATAGACTTTTCTGCCAAGTTTGGCTTCAAACTGCAATCCTCCCAATCTTAGTCTTCTAAGTAATTAGGATTATGGGTATAAGCCACTGGAATCTGGTTCATGGACTGTATTTCATAAACTCTGAAATGTACCTCTATTTCAATACACTGGACCCTCTAACACTCTACCACTTAAGTCACACCTTCCAATCTGACTTTTTTTGCTGGTTAACTGCAGATAGAGTTTCACACATTTTTCTGCATAGGTTCATTCCAAACCACAATCCTCATATCTCAGCCTCTCAAATAGAGTAGCTAGGATAACAAGCATGAGTCACCAGACTCTGGCAATACTGTATTTTTTTGACCAGGAAATACAAAGACAATTTTCTTATTTTACTTTGAGACAGAGCTTACTACATAGCTCAATCTGGCCTGGAATTTGTGAACCTCCTGTCTCAGATACCTGAGTGCTGGGATTATAAACATGAGCCACCATGTTTGGTTTAAGATAATTTTTTGAAAAACAAATATATGAAGGACTAAAAGAACATTCCCTATGGTGGGCTGACTATGGGTCTTAAAAGAAAAAAATTTCTGGGTATATGAATCTGGCCTTTCCAACTGTGCCTCAAAGGGATACAATAAGAGTAGATTTTGTGCCGGGCACAGGTGGCTCACGCCTGTAATCCTAGCTACTCAGGAGGCTGAGATCTGAGGATTGCAGTTCAAAGCCAGCCTGGGCAGGAAAGTCCGTGAAACTATATCTCCAATTA